CTTTCCTCTTGAATTTTTTGAAATAGTCTGAGCAGGATATGTTTTGGTTCTTCTATGAATTTTTGGTAAAACTCTCTTGTGAGGCCATCTGGCCCTGGGCTTTTGTTTGCTGGAAGCTTTTTGAAGACTGCTTCAATTTTCTCCATAGTTATCTGTATATTGAGATTTTTCCTGATTTAGTTGTTGGAGGTTGTATTTTTCTAGGAAAATGTCCATTTCCTCTAGGTTGTCTAGTTTGTTGGAATAGAGTTGTTCATAGTATTTTTTTTACAATCCTTTGTATTTCTGTGGGGTCTGTTGTTATTTCACCTCTTTCTTTTCTCATTTTGTTTATTCAGGTCCTCTCTCTCTGCTTCTTGGCTAGAGGTTCATCAATCTTATTTATCCTTTCAAAGAACCAGCTCTTGGTTTCATTGATCTTTATATTGTTTTGTTTTGTTTGTCTCTATGTCATTTATTTCTACTCTGATCTTTATTATCTCCTTCCTTCTGCTTACTCTGGGCTTTTCTTGTTCCTCTCTTTCTAATTCTTTAAGTTGTAGAGTTAGATGATTTTCTACCATTTTTCCTAGTTTTTTTGTTTATTTGTTTTTTTGTGTGTTTTTGTTTGTTTGTTTGTTTTGCGGTAGGCCTGTAGAGCTACAAACTTCTCTCTCAAGACTGCTTTCACTGTGTCCCATAGATTTTGTATTGTATTTTCATTGTCATTCATTTCCAGGATGTTTTTTATTTCTTCTTTGATCTCTTTGGTAACCCAATCATTGTTTAACAGCATGCTATTCAGCTTCCAAGTGTTTAACACATAATAAATAGTGAATAATGGTAGCTATTATAATGATTAAAGTGGGGTCTAAAGACAGCCAGCACTAGAATCATTGAGGAGGAAGTGGAAATAGCAAGTTTAGACTAGGGATTCAAGAAGCTTGGCTGTGAAAAAATGGAGAGAAATTAGTTATTTAGGCATTTGGAGCCCATAGAGAGTGTTGTTTATAAGGCAAAGTGATGAGACCTGACTATGCTTATTTGTCAAAGGAAGAAAGGGGAGAGAGGGGGGTAGAGGGGTAGAGAGGGAGAGGGAGGGAGAGGAAAAGAGAGAGAGAGAGAGAGAGAGAGAGAGAGCGAGAGAGAGAGATTTTGAAGGTACTGAAAAGTGGAGACTGATAAAGTCAAGACTGAGTTGAGAGAAGGGGATGGGATCCAGAAACCAAGTGGAGCATTTTGCTGAATTAAGAGGAGAAACTCTTCACAAGTGAGATTCAAAGGAAGGGAAAAGAATGGATGTAATCATGGGAAGCTTGTAGTGGAGACTCAGAGAGGCAACAAGTTAAGGGAGGTCTTGCCTCTGTGAAGAAAGAAATGAAGACACAAACTGAGAGTCACTGGGAAGGTGGTTGGGTTGGAGATTTGAGGAATGTAGGGAAAATTTAAATCAGATTCTAGAAGAACTAGGAAAAGGAACTAACTAGCAACATATAGAAGTGTTTTGGCTGCATTGAAGGTCCAGTTTACATGTTAGAACATTAATTTATATTATTAGCAATATGAAAAGTTGTGTGATTTTTCTCCAGCAGTTCTCTGCATCTCTGGTGTCTATGTATTCTGATGTTTTTATATGTAAGAATGGAGGAAGTGGATGCCCAAATTAATCAAGTATTAGGCAAAAGGATGCAGAAGTAAGAGAGGCAATGTTATGTGATATTGGTAAAGCCAATAGTGAAATTATTCATTGTGCATCTAGTTCAATGAGGAAGTGAAAACAAAACGAGAAAAAGGAGTTGTCGTGGGACTTGATGTCATGATAAGTTGGAAAAGTATAAATGTCCATTCGTTCATGTATTAAACACTAGGTACTGTATAGATGTAGGGTATGTGATAGGTACTTAGCAGACACATGCACTTCTCCCATGGATACCACAGTCTATTGTTTACAAAGAAAAAAATAGTATGTATTAGATAGAGATACATGCAACTTACACACACACACACACACACACACACATACACATACAATCACACAATCACACCTACCACTCTTGGTGTCTGGGAAATCACCTCATAGATTATAGATCTGCTTATAGATTCAAGAATTTAGCAGTAAGTCTACACAGTGGGGAGGGGTGAAGGACATGGCTTGAAAAAGCCTAAAGCGTAAGGGTTGTTGTGAAAAGTCATATAAGCTGGCATTAAGATAGCTTGCTATTTTGATTATGTGAAAGTTTCTTAAACTTGCAGAACCTCGGTTTCTCCTTCCTTGTGCTACTCACAGAGTTGTTGTAAAGATTATATGAGATATGTAAACCCAAATGTTAGTTATCATTATGAAAGCCAAGAATTTTATTACATTTAGAGGTGCAAGATGCTTCTGCCAACTTCAGGATAACAAAAGCTCTCTTACTGACTTTCAACTAACCAACTTAGTGACTTATATGATGCTCTCCATTCCCTCTATAACTCACCTGTTGGTGTCCATTGACACATTGACAAATTGCAGCTAGAAAGCTTCTCTGAAGTATGCCTATCTGTTTCTACTTCTGCCAGTGTCTGCCAGTTCCATTTGTTATTATACTTATGTCAAATAATCAAATGTTACGTAGATCTGTGAAATGTTAGAGTGAACAGAACAAGTTATAGTTTTAGGAAACTTAAATTAAATGTTTTAAGAAGATTCAATAAAGTTAAGTGGCTACAACCATAACTGCAGCCGAGTTAAATACAAGTAAGACTAAAGTAAAACACTGGGAGAAAAATTCCAGTAGTAAAATCTAAAGGGGTTCTGCACCTAGATTGCTTTTTAAAATGGGAAACTAAAAATTATAGATGATGCAATTATTTATGCCATGGACCTAGCCGTTCCAAGAAAAAACTCCAAAACCTTTGTCCAAAATCAGAAGTGTAGTTAATAAATGTATATTCGTTTAAAGTGAAAATAGGCAATGTCATTTTTGTGATTCCCTGCTGTACCCGACTTCACTGGATGAGAGGGCATTTACTGTGTATGCCGTTGTACTTATCCACAGGGATATAAATCTGCAAACGTGCTTTTCAAAGGAAAGATAGTAGAGTTATAGAGATCCAGAGATGTCATCCACAATTGGAATGTTAACAGTCTGTACACAACTGAAAGCTGGGCTGTTAAAAAGCTTTTATTTATCATAGCATAGGATGGTCCAAAGTCCTCTTTGGAAGTACTTGGCTTAGAATAGTGGTTTTCAAACTATGGGTTGTAAAATAAGTTTAGTAGTTCGTTTTAAAAGGATAGAATAGAAATCAGAGTGTATCTCAAGTTAAAGGGATAAGTTTGGAATTGGGTAAAATAAGTTCATCATATACTGATAAGACAAAAGCTACAGATAATTATAGAAATAAAAAGCAACATTTTTAACCCAAATTTTGTTTGGCAGGACAAAAATATGTATTGGAATAAAACATAAGAGACTTTAAGGATGAAATGACATGAAATCAAGGATTTGTTTTAAACCCAGGTATTAAACATTAGATACTGTATCAGCTGTGGGCAAACTACAGCCTGCGGGCCGGATCTGGCCCGTTTGAAATGAATAAAACTAAGAAAAAAAAAAAAAAGACCATACCCTTTTATGTAATGATGTTTACTTTGAATTTATATTAGTTCACACAAACACTCCATCCATGCTTTTGTTCCGGCCCTCCGGTCCAGTTTAAGAACCCATTGTGGCCCTCGAGTCAAAAAGTTTGCCCACCCCTGGTATAGATGCAGGGTATGTGCATCTAAATGCTATAGAAGTGCATGTGTAAAAGAGGGAAGGAGAGAGGAAACAAAAAAGAAAAAAGGAAGAGAGAAATTAAACTACAATAGGCCCTGGTTGGGTAGCTCAGTTGGTTAGAGAATCATCCTGATATGCCAAGGTTGTGGGTTTGATCCCCTGTCAGGGCACATGCAAGAATCAACCAATGAATGCATAAATAAGTGGGGAAAAAACAAAATTGATGATTTTTCTTTCTCCATTCCTTTCTCTCTAAAAATAAATTTTAAAAAGCAAGTAAACAATATAACTAGAGGCCCAGTGCATGAAATTCATGCACGGGAGGGGGGGGTCCCCTCAGCCCTGCCGGCACCCTCTCCAATCCAGAACCCCTCAGGGGATGTCCGACTGCCGGTTTAGGCCCACAGCAGTCAGACATCTCTCTCGTAATCCGGGACCGCTGGCTCCTAACCGCTTGCCTGCCTGCCTGCCTGCCTGCCTGATCGCCCGTAACCACCTCTGCCTGTTGGCCTGATCGCTCCCTAACTGCTCCCCTGCTGGCTTGATCGCCCCTAACTGCTTCGGCCTGCCTGCCTGATCACCCCCTAACTGCTACCCTGCTGGCCTGATCACCCCCTAACTGCCCTCCCCTGCTGGCCTGATCGCCCCCTAATTGTCCTCCCCTGCCAGCCTGATCGCTCCTAACCACCTCTGCCTCGGCCCCCACCACCGTGGCTTTGTCTGGAAGGACGTCCAGAAGATGTCTGGTCTAATTAACATATTACCCTTTTATTAGTATAGATAATTATAGAATCTGTGGACCAGGTATATGGGGGTACATTATACTGTTTTCTGCTTTCATATATTTTATAACACACTTAAAAAGTTTAACTAAAATGGAAGGAATAATGGGTATTGCAAATGCTATATTGTATTTGAGGTTCTAACCATGTTCTTTTATTGATGTTATTCTTAACTGGCGAGTAGCTCTGTAGTGTTAGAATCCTAAGCAGAGCTGGTTGCCTCTGCCCATGACTGCAGTAGTGATTCAAGAACAATGCACACAGCACATGTGCACTCATGCACATGGTTAGGAAGAATTCCTAGGAGAACCTCAAAGCAGTGAAACAGCTTTGGCTATTTCTGACTTGAAGTTTTCTGAACAAACACTTTCAGAGTGAAAGAAAATCAATTCAAAATGACCTCTGGATATTTCTGAGAGTATTTTTATAGCCACATATTACCATGAATAATGAGCTAACTTCTTTTCTTTTCTAGGAAGAACTGGAACTATGGCTTGTGCGTGCCTTATTGCCTGTGAAATATTTACAACTGCAGAGGTATGAAAGATGTTACTACAAACGTTATCTTATGCTGACTGCATTTGCTAATTCTGAAATGTCATTGGTAGGGTAGGATGATTATTTGAGTCATGGTACGTAATGAAATTGTAAAGGGAGAGGCTGTTATTAGAAAGCTTGGTTTTAATACTTCTTTGTTTAACTTGTGGTTATAACTGACCTAGATAGCCCTTACTCTGGGCCAGAACTAGGGTGAGGTCAGTGAGACATTAGTGCGCCATGGGAAAATTTTAAGAGAATGCCAAAATAGTCATAGTCAAGATAAATAATATCCTAATGCAATATTTTTAAATGAAAATTAATGCCAAAAATCAATGATATATACAATAGCAACATTTTAAATAAAGACAGGACCCAATAGGGGCAAGATTAAGGTGAGATGAGTAAAGTCAAATTACACAGTGCAAAAAAGCTTAACAATCTAGACACTTCACCTGTGTCTCCTAGTCCAGCCCTGCTCTTACTCTGACCAATTATGGGACTTCCTCTTTTCTCACAAGAAAAATATCAAGATTGATTGGGTAAGTTCTCTAAAGGACCTTGATCCTTAGAAGTGCTAGGTAGATAAAAGGTGCTGTTTTCCAACTCAGAACAAAGTCTCTCCTGAGTGTTACTTCTGCACAGTCACTCTCTGTGGGGTCTGTGCCCTCTGGAAATTTCTGAGAAGATAGGGTGGGTAGTTTCACTTCCTGAAGCAGGGTTCTCAGTCTTTTTTCTGCCATGATCTTGCTGAGAAGTTACCACTTAGAGGACATACTCCCAGTAGCTCTGCACCTCACTTGGCCCACAGTCGAGTTAAGAGAAACTGTGCATTATGCACCATGCCCAACACTCTAATTCCACTATCTTCTTTTTTCTAATTTGAGGCACACAAATTATGAAAATGAATGTTCTAGGACAGTGGTTTTCAACCAGTGTGCCACAAGAATTTTTAAATCATGCAATACCTGAGTATTTAGTCAAGGGTACTGACCTCTTTTCCCTTAGATTGTCATAATAAAATGACAGAAGACACACAAAAATAGCTGTCTGGTGTGAATGAATCAAAATTATACCTATTGTTTATCAGATTGGCAAAAATATTTTTTGGTGTGCTGCAGAATTTTGGTAATTAGTTAATGTGCCATGAAATGGAAAAGGTTGGGAGTCACTGTTCAAGGGCAATGCTTTTTAAACTATGAATCAAAATCTATTAGTGAGTTATAAAATCAACGTATTGGGTTGTGACTCGTATTTTTTTAAAATAAAATGGAATAGATTAGTAAATATCAAAAGGTAAGTATTGTTTTATGAAATTGTGTTTCAGGTGTGTGTGTGTGTGTGTGTGTGTGTGTGTGTGTGTGTGTGTGTATCTCCTAGGTTTATTAATGTAGATTGTTGCTTTTAAATAAAACAGTTGGAAGCCATTGACCAAAGCCTTAGACAGAGAGCCCCCTGTGTGTTGCTGCATAAGTTGCCAAGCCAGCCACCAGCTTTTCTTTCAGTCTTAATCTTCTCCATTTGTAAAATGGAAAGTAGGAAGACAGACCAGATGACCTCTAAGGCCTTCCCAGCTCTAAAATTCTATGTCTTTATGAATATTGGAATGAGCATGAGCCTTGATGTGGCTTTGCTAATTTTATCATTTTGGGTAGCCTCTGCCCAGAGACTGCTGACTTAGGGGGATGTGTACCCTTAGAAACATTAAGAATACCTTATACAGGAGAGGAAAATACAGATGACCCATGATTGGCTTGTCCCCATTTCTATAGGAGAGCCTTTATTATTTTGGAGAACGACGAACAGATAAAACCACCAGCAGTAAATTTCAGGGAGTAGAAACTCCTTCTCAGGTAAGTGTTCTTTTTATTTTTTTAAATATATTTTATTGATTTTCTACAGAGAGGAAGGGAGAGGGATCGAGAGTCAGAAACATCGATGAGAGAGAAGCATCGACCAGCTGCCTCCTGCACACCCTCCACTGGGGATGTGCCTGCAACCCAGGTACATGTCCTTTACTGGAATCGAACCCAGGACTCTTCAGTCCCCAAGCCGATGCTCTATCCAGTGAACCAAACTGGCTAGGGTGGTAAGTGTTCTTTTTAAAAAGGGGGTCCTCACCCAGTCAGTTTGGCTCAGTAGTTGAGTGTCTACCTATGAATCTGGAAGTTGCGGTTCGATTCCCAGTCAGGGCACATGCCTGGTTTGTGGGCTCCATCTGCAGTGTTGAACGTGCACAAGGCAGCCAGTCAATGATTCTCTCTCATCATTGATGTTTCTGTCTCTCTGCCTCTCCTTTCCTCTCTGAAATAAATTTTTAAAAAATTTTTAATAAAAAAAGGTGGGGGGGATTGACACCTATTATTTGGTTTCAGTTTAGACTTCTCCTTTGGTGGTCAGGCAGCAGCACTTGGGTGCCTTGATCCCTCCCAGAGGCTGAGAGCTGTGTCTCAGGCACTACCTGAGCTTTGCAAGCTTTGAGTTCTCCCCAGAGCATATTGCTTCCCACTTTATGTTGTTTATTGTTTACGGAGTTCAGGAGTTGCTTCCCTTCCCAAAGAAAGAAGGTCCCAGACTGCTGAAAACTAACTAAAGTCATCAGCCATTTATTTCCCATAGAGAGGAACTGAGTCTTTCACAATTCTCCACTAGGATAGTTCTACCCTTGAACAATATCATGTGTGTGAGTGTGTGTGTGCGTGGGGGGGGGGTGGTATGCATGAGACAGAGACAGAGAGAGAGATGGGGTAAGGGCTGTATTTTGAATGATAAAGAAAAGGGAAAGTAACATTTTTCATAAATCTATTATATCCAGACACTATCATATATTACTAGAGGCCTGGTGCACGAAATTAGTGTGTGTGTGTGGGGGGGGGTTCGGGGGGTGTGTCCCTCAGCCTGGCCTGCAACCTCTCCAATCCGGGACCCCTTAGGAGATGTCCAACTGCCGGCTTCCTAACCACTCTCCTACCAGCCTCATTGCCCCCTAACTGCTCCCATGCCAGCCTCATCGCCCCTAACTGCTCTCCCCTGCTGGCCTCATCACCCCTAACTGCTCTCCCCTGCCGGCCTGATTGCCCCCTAACTGCTCTCTCCTGCCAGCCTGATCATCCCTAACCGCCTCTGCCTCGCCCCCCCCCCCACCATGGCTTTGTTCAGAAGGACATCTGGTCTAATTAGCATATTACCCTTTTATTAGTATAGACTAGTAGCCCGGTGCACGAAATTCGTGCACTGGGGTGGGGGGCGGGGGGAAGGGGCCCCTCAGTCTGGCCTTCACCCTCTCCAATCTGAGACCCCTCAGGGAATGTCCAACTACCTGTTTGTGCCCACACTTTTAACAGATAACAGCTCCATTGTTGTTTCTTTCTTATGCTTAAAACCATTGGAATTAGTAGGTATTCAAAATGTGTATATATTTTTGGGGGACACCCTGTATATCTCTTGTCAGTGGTGAAAGAAACCAACAGCAGATTTGGAACCCCCAGACAGGGAACCTTGCTCACTCCCCACATGTCTCCCCACTTCACTTTCCACCTTCGTGGGCAGCAGAGAATCAACATTTTCTCTCATTAATTCAGAAAAGCACGTCCTGTCACCTGCTGCCTGGCAGGAGTGCGCTAGGCCCCAAGCAAGCAAGGCTCACTCAGGGCAGCCTTCGCTCATGGGTGCTGGCACCCAAAGTGCACATTTCTCCTCTACAGTCGCCCCGACTATCCCACTGTTTCACTGAGAGGACGGAATTCCTCTCCGCCCTTGGGTTCTTGATCTTGAACGCTGACCAAAGGCACCTCAGAGAGGGCCGCTCGCGCCCACCAGGTGTGTCTGTCTGCACCTGCTCCTGCCTCAGCACCTGCATTAACTCCCCAGAGGTGATCTCATAGCTGCACTGGCCTCTGTGGGAACAGGGCATCACCACTCCGCCCTCTCACTGTCATCTCACAGGCGCCCACCCTCAGCACCCAGAACACCCAGACACTCTCCAAAGGATGTGAGCGCATCAGAGGGGATGTGTGCACATCCTGTGAGGGTGTTAGGCATGCCGGGTTGATGGAAGTGCGGTGGAGAGGCGAGGGGAACTTGTGCATGCCTTGGTTTGCAACTGTTGTAGGCGTGGGAGGGTGACAGTATGCTGGGGGATATTCGCACGCCAGGGGGGTATGTGCACACTGGAGGCCTCTGGCTTTGCAGATCCACGAACCCCCGTGGTGCGGCCAGGAGGATGTCAGTCTGGCCTGCCACGGTGGCTGTCCCTGCGATCCTGCACCTTCTGGGCCAGGAGGCAGATCTTGCACAGTCACTCCTGGGCACTGATGGCTGCCTCCCCGCCGTGAAGGGTCACGGATCCGAGTCCCGGGACCGTGCACAGCCTCAAGTGCTGCCCCCCTCCCGGCAGGGTCACAGATCCGTGTCTTGGTCCCCTGGACAGCCTCAAGCACTGCCCCCCGCCTGGCAGGGTCACAGATCCGGGTCCCGGACTGTGGACAGCCTCCCGTGCTGCCCCCCTGCCCACCAGGTCACGGATCCGGGTCCCGGGACCACAGACAGCCTCAACCACTGCCCCCCGCCCGGCAGGGTCACAGATCCAGGCCCCAGACTGCGGACAGCCTCAAGCACTGCCCCCCGCCTGGCAGGGTCACAGATCCGGGTCCCAGACCGCAGACAGCCTTGCCTGCCACCGCCTGCCTTCAGTATGCAAATTAGCCGCCATCTTGTTGCTTCAGGGTGGGGGTCCCCACTGGGATGCCTGGCCAGTCTGGGTGAGGGGCTGAGGGCTGTTTTCAGACTGGCGGGCGACTGAAGCTCCAAACCTCTCCTTTTTTTCTTTCTTTTTTTTTTATTCTGGCATTTATTTACCTTCTATGCCTGTCACTGGAGCTGAGAGCCAGCTTTCTCTCTGAGGCTCAGCTGCTGAAAGCAGGTTTCTGGCCTTTGTTTACCTTCTGTATTTGATACAATGTTGCAGTCTTGCTGGCTGAAGCCTGGCTGACTGAAAGCAGGTTTCTGGGGTTTTGTTTAGCTTCTATATTTGTTACAATGTTTCAAACTGCAAGCTCAGAGGCCGGCAAGGCAGGCGGGGAAGCTTGGCTTCCTCCGTCACTGAAGCAAGCAAGCCTCCCTGATAGCTTCAAGCTGCCTGGCTGCCGGCCGCCATCTTGGCTGGAAGTTAATTTGCATATGGCCCTGATTAGCCAATGGGAAGGGTAGCGGCCGTACGGCTAATTACCATGTTTCTCTTTTATTAGATAGGATTATATTGCACTTTTATTCGTATTATCTTATTTAATACTCAGATAACCTATGTGAAATATATGCTATTATCCTTTTAAAAGTATTTTATTATGGAAATTTTAAAACAAAAAAATTGAGACAATCATATTGTAAGTCTCCTGATACTCATCACAGCACTTCAGCAATCACTTGATTATGTGGCCAATCATGTTTTATCTATTTATCTCCACTTAGACACACACACACACACACACACACTCTACTCTTTAAACCAGGATTATTTTGAAGGAAATCCCAGCCACCAGATTATATTATCCTGAAAGTATGTTATTATGACATCTATCATAAAGACTCTAAAAAACCCTTACAACCTTTTATCATACCTAAAAATATAATAATATTTAATAGTATCAAAGGCCTACTTTATCTTTAAATTTCCATAATTACTTTAAAATCTTTTTAAAAACTTAGTTTGTTTCAATCAGGATCCAAATAAGAGCCATATGTTTCATTTGGTTGCTATGTCTCTTAAGTCTCTTATGGTTTATAGGTTTTCCACCTCTTTTTATATCTTGTAATTTGTTTTTTGCAGAAAGTAAGACATTTATCCTATAGAGTTTATAACATTTTAGACTTGATTGGACCATGCTAAAGGTTTTACATTCAATTTCTCATTTCATATTCTCAATAACTATGAGTAGATACTATCATGATTCCCATTTTATAGCTGGGAACTTGAGATTCAGGGAAATTAACTTTTTAAACCAAGAATGCAAATCCAGATCTGTCAGACTCTGAAGCCTTTTATTTCGCATCCTGTGCACAGCTTCTCCTCTCTGTTGCCCCTCAGACCAAAGTGAGAACTGGTTGTGAATTCTTGAATAGAATGGATGTGGCTGTGAATGGAAGCTTTTTGGGGTGAAGTGATGTGAGCTGAATAGATACCTTTGGCCTTGGTAGCAGTACACTGCAACTGCTAGTTCAGGGGATAAGAACTCAGCCTTATCCCGTGAAACTTTCTGCCATACCCAAGGGGGGGAAAAAAGATAGCTATAGGCCATACTAGAAGTCACACTTGAACTTACCAAAGCACAGTTCAGCTCGAATCATGCCATTTCCATGCTCAAAATCCATAATGGCTTCTGACTGCCAATGGCAGCAAATATAATTTTTTTAACCTTGCCCCCAAGATCTATGATTTGATTTTCCAACCATTTTGTCCACTGTGTGCATTCACATGTCCCACACTCTCACACATTTGGACTGTATGCTGTTTCCCAGCTCGTCAGCACTTTACACCCACATGCCATTGCTCACATGGCCCCTTTTCCTGGAGTTCCTTTCCCTTCCCAGCCTGATAGTCTCCTACTCTTTCAGTTCTTCTACCAGGGGTGGGCAAACTTTTTGACTCAAGGGCCACAATGGGTTCTTAAACTGGACCGGAGGGCCGGAACAAAAGCATGGATGGAGTGTTTATGTGAACTAATATAAATTCAAAGTAAACATCATTACATAAAGAGTACGGTCTTTTTTTTTTTTTTTTTTTTTTTTTTAGTTTTATTCATTTCAAACCGGCCGGATCCGGCCCACGGGCCGTAGTTTGCCCATGGCTGTTCTAGCCTTTTGTGTTTCTTTTAGAGGTTACTTTACTTTATATTATTTTCTAGCTATTTTCAATGGTGAGTTCTCTACCCCTTTTGCCTAAAGCCCATATCTTAACCCATCTTTCCACCCTAGGAATTCCCAAGTGCCTCATACAGTATCTCCCCTGTTTAGAGCAAGTGCGTGCCAGGGAGTTGGCATGAACTCCTGCTGCAGGCCCTGTAGTTTTAGGTTGTAGGAGAAGAGATAGTGACAGCAAAGCAGCTTGAGGGCCATGCTTGATTACAAGCCTTAAGCAAAAGGTAGAGAATCTGGTGGCAGGAGCTAAGGGCGTGTTAGATATAACTCCTTCAATGACTATCCTTGTACACCTTCCCTCCCCCATTTCTTCTGCAGTTGTGCACAGTTTCTCTAACTTTAGTCCAGAACTGGCGCACCCTAGCTACAACAGAATCTCTTCTGATGCACTGGGATAGAAATGCAGGGCCTCAGCCTCAGGCTGAGAGCTGTGCTGGCAAGGCCCCAGGACAGAGTTCCTTCTGCGTGGGTTGGTAATTCTCAGATACCATCACATTCTGACCCTATACTGCTGGCCATTCTGTATGGACTACATTTCATCCATCCCTGAGTTAAGGACTTGCACGAGACTTTCTCTTTGCTGGCCCTTTCCGATGGAAAGTATGGCAGTTAATTTTATTAACACTTCCCAGTGGGTGGGGCAGAGTTGATACATTTTTTAGTCCAGTTGATTCAGTACCAGAACTCTTCAAAAAGAGTGAGCAGTCTGCCATAGAGAAGGAGTAGGCTAAGAGAATCCCCAGGGCTTCCTTGCAAAAACAAAATTGGAGAAGTGGAAAGTGAAGAAACTTCAGCTGGCAGAGACAAGAGAATGTGTATCTACCACTGGCCTGTGGAGGGCTTCCTCTTGAGTTTTTACATCTGCCCTCCCTCGTGCCTAGAAGGCTACTCACCACCAAACCACAAACTTTCCTTTAACGCAGTCACAACGAGGCCTCTGACCTCACATAGATTTGTTCTCATTTGTTTCATGCTCAAAATCCATAGTGGCTCCTTAACTGTTTCCTGCTGGGATGCTGCTGTCTTGTTGGTTCTGGTTAGCTGCTCTCTCAATCATAGGAGCCTGTCAGCAGCACCTGGCTCCTTCCTTGTTACTCCTCCACCACGTTTTTTAAGGTAGATATTCAGTCATGAGGCAACCTCCATAAAAATGCAGTTATATAATGGCACCCAATAAATGTTCTCTTAATTAATTACTCTACTTAAATTCTATGTAAAAAAATCAGATATGCTGACTTTAGACTTTTCATCTCCACTTAAATTAAGACTTCTGTGTGTGTTTTTTCCAGAATAGGTATGTTGGATATTTTGAAGATGTGAAAAATATTTATAACTTGACTCTCCCTCCAAGAAAAATACTTAGGATAAAAAAATTTGTTATTTATTCAATTCATGGTAAGTGCTTTAATTATTATTGGAGAAATGGGCAGGTGGGCAATGTTCTTACTATTTGGGAGGATTTTGCTCACATTTACACATACAGAGAATCCCAACTCTGAACTATCTTGTATATCCTCATATATGAACCTCTCCCCCTGGAATGGCCATAAGCTCACCCTTAGAGGAACTGGGGAAGCAGGGCGTGGTGTGGAAGGGATGTCATTAGGTCTGCACCTCATTCTCCCCTGCAGAGGTGCATCAGGGGCAAGGCTCCCAAATCCTTAAAGCAGCAGCCAGACTGTGGCCCACTAGGAGGGTGGCGTGCTGGGCCTCTCACTCGTGGTGTGGTGCCAGGGAGTTGGTATCCACCCAGATGGCTTAGTGTTTAGTCTTCTGAGGAGTCACACAAAATAAGGATCTGAAAATAGATATTTTTAACATTTCATCCAATTATTCAGAAATTTAAAAATTCTTAAAAATACATAAAACTGCATAGTCAGAAAATAAATTAAAATTTTAGTTAAAATATAAAATACTTTTTTTAGTTTATGTGCATACCCCCCCCCCCCACACACACACACACCACCACTTCTTGTTGGCAGTGAGGAATTTTAATAGATTACCACAAACAGATTACATAGTTTTCTGACTTCTGAAAACAACTTCAACTCAGTACGTTGCCTGTGTGGAACATTTTGGTCTAGATTTCCAAACAAGCATTGTTCAGGCAGACCTGTGAAACACAGCCTGTTGTGACAGCATGCCGCCTGTGTATATAAATGAACAACTGTTGGTGAAAAGGCTTTGTAGATGGCATTCCTCTGCAAAGACCATTGTGACTGGGTCAAGGGATGTGAGGGATTGCGCAGAACAGGGCTGTAGGGGAGTTGAATGGAACTCCAGCCCTGGCCAGACCTCCCCAGGTAGAGCCAGGCTTGTCCAGCAGGTGCTAGAAGATAGAGGATAGCAGTACCTTGCTTCTTCCTTCCCACACAAAGTGGCGCCCTGCAAATAGAGCTAGACGGCTTTCTTCTGCAGTGAGGAAGGCAGCACATTTGGCTGTTGGAGCAACTACTTCCACTCAGAAATTTAATCCCAAATGTAAAACCAACTTAGTGGCCTGAGAACCCCTATGGTACCTGAATATATACTCAGCCTCAGCTTCCTCTTTGTTAACCATGGGAGCAACAGTATCTATACAAAGCTCTGTGAGCATTAAACTATTCCAAACAGGCAAACCAGCATTTAGTCTAAGGAGTTTTAATGCATCGCTTTAATATGAACAATGGGAATAGGAATAGTTTCTCAAAATTCTAAGCTTCAAAATGTTTTTAAGTAAGGTCTAGAATGTCACATGTTGCCTTAATCTGATATTATATTTTAAGACCGTCACTTCTCTCTTAATATTTTGAATTTTACTTAAACTCTGTGGAGACATTGTTTAGTAAAATGTACAGCTCACACCTGGAGAACAGCAGAGCTAACCCAATGTCAGTACTGCAGGTGAGAGCTGGTGGAGAGTTCCACAGGGCTGGTTTCCTACTCAGGCTAACATAAAATAGCGGATTTTAAAAGTCCTATTTGAGATCCCTCATGAAGACTTCCAGAGAGCATGTTGTGGCCTCAGCACTGGTCAGTACAGTTGGGTCTAGGCTTGCAGGGCCAACTTAAGAAGGCCAATGTGGTAAGTTAAGATTCTTGCTGCACCCAATTAAACAATCAGGTCAAACTAATGACCTCAGCCCTCTTTTGAAATAAGATAATTTTTATGATCACAACAGAAAGGTGATGGGGAGAAAAAAGTGTGAAAGACTTTGAAATGGGCAATATCTAGTGCACTTTCTGGGTTGTCTCCACCTCCCATGGTCTTGAAACTATTTTACAACTTTGTAAGTTGTAAAAACCTCATATTAATGAACAGCATTTTTACACATAGAAATAGAAATGCAAATTAATTGTGCCTGGTGTAATGCAATTGATTATTGACCCATTTAGTGTCTATTTGTAGATTCATTTCATCCTCCCTTATCTGCTATAAATGTGCAGTACTTTGAACTAGCTATAATATCATACTTATTAATGAATGTCTCCTCATTAATGAATGAGTTAAATAATTTTTGACATGTATTTCAAAAATGGAAGATACAGGACAATTCTATCATATGCAACAATTTCTGTAAAACAAAAAAGAAAATAAATATGTGTTCATATTTGTGTGTGTCTGTATTGGTAAAATGTGTGGGAGGATATATTTTTATACTTAATTATAGAAGCATAAAACAAGATAGTGGTTATCTATTTGGGGGTGGAGAATTAACTAGGTGTGGAATGGGGGAGAGACTTTTCACTTCATGTCTTTTTACCTTTAATTTTTAAATCATGTAATTATTTAAAAAATTCTAAATGTGTTGTAATTTAAACTTTTAAATCAATGCCCTTTTCTTATCATGTGATATTTGACTTAGTTTAAATTTGTATTTCACTGGTTTTTGGTAGGCATCCTTAGAAAGAAGCTCTGCAGCTAGAATGGTACTGAGGGAACTGAGGCAAACAAACTATGATCCTAATGACAAGTTAATGATATGGTGTTAGTGGGAACAAAATGAAATGAAAACAAAGCAAACATAATATAAGGTGAATAGTCAAGAATGATCGAGATATGACTTTATTAGAATATTTGTTTCACTTCTGTACCTTTAGTTCTGTGCATATTTAAGTAAAATGTGCAGGGTTGAGCAAAAGCAATAAAACTTGATTGGAAGCTTGAAAAACTAGCCCTTTGAGGAAATGCTAAAGAAAGTGGATCATCTGAATTGAAAAAAGGATCAAGAAACCATTTGTTTATAAATGTACACTTAACACCACAGGAATCCTATATTTTGTGTATCCTATATTTTCACAGAAACTGCTCCCTAGGAACTAAAGAAAGAGGAATTTAGACTGTTACTAAGAAACATCATGATTTGAATTCTGAAGAAAGCAACACATTAGCAAGAAAAGTTACAAGTCACTTTCCCTAATTTCTTTTTTTCTAGAAAGACAAATCTTAGAAGCTGAACTATGTCTCTTCTCCAGACTTATAAAGTCTGCTTTAGGAGACAGAATTGGCTTGAAGCCTTGTCTTTCAGAGACAAAATTCATGCACCCAAATTATTTTATATTGATACTAGAGGCCCAGTGCATGAAGATTCGTGAACTGGGGTTGGGTCCCTCAGCCCGACCTGCACCCTCTCCATCTGGGAGCCCTCAGGGGAGCCCTCTCCAATCCAGGAGTTTTTTTCTGTCTTTGCAATCATATGAGTGAATTGTCTGAGACCCCAACCCAGTTTGGTTTGTTGCTCACAGAATAATAGAGGCATTTTTTTTTTCTTTGCTTCATTGGTGGAGATTTCCTGGAAGTTTTAGGATAGTTTCTCTTTAATTTTTCCTAGACACTCTGATTTTACTTATGTCTCTCACCTTTGCTTTCCCTCCATCCCTCACCTCAACAGTAACTTGCTCCAGGCTCACTTTGCTCTAGTACAGGGGTGGGCAAACTTTTTGACTCGAGGGCCACAATGGGTTCTTAAACTGGACCGGAGGGCCGGAACAAAAGCATGGATGGAGTGTTTATGTGAACTAATATAAATTCAAAGTAAACATCATTACATAAAAGGGTACGGTCTTTTTTTTTTTTTAGTTTTATTCATTTCAAACAGGCCGGATCTGGCCCGCGGGCCGTAGTTTGCCCACAGCTGCTCTAGTATCTAGGAGATCCATCTGCCACCAGAACTACGATTCCCAGCATTCCTGGTGCTCCCCACGCTCTTGGTTTTCCCTTCCTGCTCTGTCTCCATCCCATGGCCTCCCACTCTGCCAATTCCTCTAAGCCACCAGCTCTCCCTCTCTGCTCTCTGTCTGGTGGCTTGGGAGCCAAGTTCCCCAAGCCGCTCCACTCTCTGCCGGCTCTCCCGCTCTGCTCTCCGCCCAGTGGCTTGGGGGAGCGACCAAGGGAGCCATGTCCCCCCAAGCCGCTGGTTCTCCTGCTCTGCTCTCTGCCTGGTGCCTGTGGATGCAAATTAACCCGCCATCTTTGTTGGGTTAATTTGCATACTCACCCCTGATTGGCTAGTGAGATCAGCAGAGGGATGGTCAATTTACATGTTTCTCTTTTATTATACAGGATATTGTTACCTGGGATTTCCTCTCTTTTTAATTTATAATGTTAATTGTTGAGACTTTTTGATCTTTACTCTAACTTTTTATTTTCATTCAGGTGTTGGAAAAGGCAACGGTGATGATCTAAAAGTGAAAATAATAATGCGTCAAAAGATTGCCTTTTTCTGTTCTGCTTCCAAAAACTGTAGGGTAAGAGAAAGTATGTGAACTGGAAAAGCACTGCTTTACATCGCAATGTCAGATCAGTATGTTGACCTCCCACAGCCCTTGCTCGCCACAAGGAGAGGCCATGTTGCTTTTTGATTCCTATGCAACTTGGTGCCCCTGGGTTTGAATGCAGTCAGAGCTAAATTAAACTCACTGTTCAAAATAGATTTTTCAGAGCATGTTCCAGAATATATTTTCAGCTCAGAGTGTTGCCTTGGTTTTCATATTTGCACAATGCCAAGCATGTTACCATGAATCTATCAGAGTTTTAAATTCATGTACCTGTTCTATCTCTGGTCATTTTTAGCCAGACCTTTTTTTCTTGGTCATTTTTATTATATGGCGCTGACTCTGAAATTGTAGTATGCATATCAATCACCTCTGAGCTTATAAAGATGCAGATTTCTAGGTTGTACACCAAAGTATGATTGAGGAAATTTGGAATGAGACCCGGGAATCTAGATTTAGCAATGTCTCAGGTGATTCTAACTCAGACGTCTCGTGGGACTGCACTATGAGAAAAAAAATGACATTGCAAAAGACCCAAAGCAATGGGACCTGGTAGTCAATTTTTATTTTTGGTGGGTACAGTGAACTTGATTGATGGCGCATGACAAGGTGGAGTTCCCTAAGCCCTCCTATTCTTCAGGAAGTCTGGGATGGAAACTATGGAGGTGAGGAGGTTCTCAATGTGTTGGGGGACTGATTGGGAGCAAGGACTCCCCAGCAGTGAGGGCCTCTCTTTCTCTCGCTGGGGCTCCTGGTCCAGGGGCTCTTACCAGGGAGGTCATGTGGACCATAAGGCCCACCACTCTAATGCTGTAGCCAAATTCATCGTCAAAAAAGGGAATGAGCTTGACAAAGTGAACATTGAGGGCAATGCCAGCTCCAGCAAAAATAAAAGGTGAAGGAGTGGTTGTCACTGTTAAAGTCACAGGCGACAACCAGGTCCTCAGTATCACTCAGGATGCCCTTGAGGGGGCCCTCTGATGCTTGCTTCACTGCTTTTTTGATGTCATCACATTTAGTAGCTTTTTCCAGGTGGCAGGTCAGATCCATATTTTCCTAAATATTGAAAAAATATCTAAGACTACAGACCTTTTCTGAAGCAACAAGAAAGCTTCCTTCATGGGTCTAAGAAATACAAACTTTGAAAATTCTCAGGCTTCTCTCTAGTTCCCCTCTTACCTCTCCAACACCATTTCTTTCCGTTCTTTTTGCCCCTCCCCTGATAGAGGGCACTAACCCAGGCCTGATCTTTGGCTTTCTGTTCTTACCTCTGTACATACTCTATTCTTGGTTCCGCTCATCCATTTTTCTGCTTTAAACTATACATTTTTTTCTGTCATTCACGCAACACAGCATCCACTGTGTGGTAGATGTGGGAGTTACAACATGGACAGTCTCTGCTCCTATAATTCAAACACATCATATTTCCTCAGGCAAGGGAAACAAAAGAAAAAAATAAACAAATTGGACTACAACAAACTAAAAAGTGTTTGCACAGCAAAGGAAACCATCAACAAAATGAAATGACAACTTACTGAATGAATGGGAGAACATATTTGCTGATACATCTAATAAGGGGTTACTATCCACAATTTTATAAAGAACTTATAAAACTCAACACAAAAAAACAATTAAATTTAAAAATGGACAACGGACCTGAATAGACACTTCTCCAAAGAGGACTTACAGATGGCCAATAGACATATGAAAAAGTGATCAATTTCACTAATCATCAGAGAAATGCAAATTAAAACCACAATGAGATATCACCTCATATATGCCAGAATGGCTATCATCAATAAATTCACAAACAGCAAGTGTTGGCAAGGATGTGGAGAAAAGGGACCCCTTGTGCACTGTTGGTGGGGATGCAGACTGGTGCAGCCACTGTGGAAAGCAGTATGGAGGTTCCTCAAATAATTAAAAGTGGAAGTGCCTTGTGAACCAGCAATTCCACTTCTGGAAATTTATCCAAAGAAACCCAAAACATTAATAATTCAAAATAATATACACGCCCCTATGTTTATTGCAGCATTATTTACTAGATAAGATCTGGAAACAGCCCAAGTGCCCATCAATAGATGAGTGGATTAAAAGCTGTGGTACATTTTTTTTAAATTAAATCTTTATTGTTCAGATTATTACAGTTGTTCCTTTTTTTCCCCCCATAGCTCCCCTCCACCCGGTTCCCACCCCACCCTCTCCCCTTACCCACATCCCCACTGTCCTCATCCATAGGTGTACGATTTTTGTCCAGTCTCTTCCTGCACCCCCACACCCCTCCCCCCCCGAGAATAGTCAGTCCACTCCCTTTCTATGCCCCTGATTCTATTATATTCACCAGTTTACTCTGTTCATCAGATTATTTATTCACTTGATTTTTAGATTCACTTGTTGATAGATGTGTATTTGTTGTTCATAATTTGTATCTTTACCTTTTTCTTCTTCTTCCTCTTCTTAAAGGATACCTTTCAGCATTTCATATAATACTGGTTTGGTGGTGATGAACTCCTTTAGCTTTTTCTTATCTGTGAAGCTCTTTATCTGACTTTCAATTCTGAATGATAGCTTTGCTGGGTAAAGTAATCTTGGTTGTAGGTTCTTGCTATTCATCACTTTGAATATTTCTTGCCACTCCCTTCTGACCTGCATAGTTTCTGTTGAGAAATCAGCTGACAGTCATATGGGTACTCCCTTGTAGGCAACTGACTGTTTTTCTCTTGCTGCTTTTGAGATTCTCTCTTTGTCTTTTGCTCTTGGCATTTTAATTATGATGTGTCTTGGTGTGGTCCTCTTTGGATTCCTTTTGTTTGGGGTTCTCTGCACTTCCCGGACTTGTAAGTCTATTTCTTTCACCAGGTAGGGGAAGTTTTCTGTCATTATTTCTTCAAATAAGTTTTCAATATCTTGCTCTCTCTCTTCTTCTGGCACCCCCATAATTCAGATGTTGGTATGCTTGAAGTTGTCCCAGAGGCTCCTTACACTATCTTCATATTTTTGGATTCTTTTTTCTTTTTGCTTTTCCAGTTGGGTGTTTTTTGCTTCTTTGTATTTCAAATCTTTGACTTGATTCTTGCGCTCCTCTGGTCTGCTGTTGGAACTCTGTATAATATTCTTTATTTCAGTCAGTGTATGCTTAATTTCTAGTTGGTCCTTTTTCATAACCTCCAGGGTCTCACTAGATTTCTTGAGGGTTCTCACTAAATTTATCGGTGGTTTCTAGAAAGTTCTTGAAAAACCTTAGAAGTGTGGTTTTGAACTCTATATCCAGTAGTTTGCTTTCCTCCATTTCTGTCATTTGTGACCTGTTTCTTTGTCTCCACATTTTGGCTTCTTCCCTGTGTTGGTAGAGTGGCTTTGTGTGCTAGGTGTCCTATAGGGCCCAGTGGCTCAGCCTCCCCAATTACCTGAGGTGGACACTCTTGGTGCACCCCTTTGTGGGCTGTGTGCACAGTCTTGTTGTAGTTAAGCCTTGATTGTTGTAGGTATCACTGGGAGGAATTGACCTCCAGACCAATTGGCTGTGAGAATCAGCTGTGTCTACAGTGGGAGAACTTCTGTGCTGGAGACACCCTTATGGGGCAAGACTTGCTTCAGTGGGGCTTTGGTGCTCACTGAGTCTGCCCCCTGAGTGTGTTCCTTATGGATCTGAGGAGTTGTAATCTGGATGGTCCCACTCTGACCACTGGGTACACTGGCTCTTGGATCTCTAAGGAGGTGCTAATTTAGCCTCTGTCTGAGGCTACCCAGCAGGAGCTATGGAGAGATCTGCAGATTCCTCTTCTTTGGGGTTTGGAGGTGCCTAGATGAGGCCCAGCTGTGAAGCAATGCAAGCTTCTGTGGGGCCTTGAGCCTTCTTTTGGATGTTCTGGGTCTCTCTGACCCAGCTGCAGTCTGTTAGGTAATTTTCAGCTTGCAAAGGGCCAGGCCTTTCATATGCAAAAGCCTCTGTGCACAGCTTGGGTGGGGCGGGGTCTCAGGGAATCAACAGGGTGGAGCAAACAGCTATGACTGATCCTCAGTACTACCCTAAGAGGCCCTGCATCTCAGTGTCCCGCGGTAATCGCTGCAAGCACCTCTGAGAGAAAGCCGCCCTCAAGTTCTGATTGATGCCAGACAGTCCAGTTTCTCCCCATATGAGTCTGGGTCCTCAGAGACTCAACTGGAACTGGAGTTCAGAGCAGTCGGGAGCTTGTGTCTCCCTCCCGATTGAAAAAGACAACCGTGTCCTCAGTTGCCAGCCCTTTCCACGTGCGCCTCTGTACTTCTGCACTTTACTTCCGCACCTCCTCTGAGTTTCAGTGTGCTTTTCTCTTTCCTTCTAGTTGTAGAATTTCCACTCAGCCAGCCTTCCTGTGGTTCTGGATGATGTCCATTTTGTCTTTTAGTTGTATTTTTGAAGTGGTTGTGCGAGGCAGCAATTTCCCGTGTTTACCTATGTCGCCATCTTGGTTTCTCAGCTGTGGTACATTTAAACAATGAAATGCTACTTGGCGGTAAAAAAGAAGGAATTCTTATCTTTTGGGGACAGCATGGATGATCCTAGAGATTATTATGCTAAGTGGAATAAGCCAATGAGAAAAAGACAAGTACCATATGATTTCACTCGTATGTGGAATCTAATGAACAAACTGAACTAATAAGCAAAGTAGAGACACACTCATGGATAGAGAGCAGGCTGACACCTCTCAGGGGGAGGGGTGGTGGGATTGAGAAAAAAAGGAAAAAGAGAGAGAAAAACTCATGGACACAGACAACAGTGTGGTGAGATTATAGGGAGGATAAATGGTGATGGACAAAGACTTGACTTGGGGTGGTGAACACACAATAGTGTATGATAATGTGTTGCAGAGTTGTGCACCTGGAACTTATATAATTTTTTAACCAGTGTCATCCCAATAAATTCAATAAAAACGAAAAAATATATTTATCAAATGAGTTTTTCTTCTGCTTCTGAAAATGGCACTAGCATTCTCTCACTCAGGCCTTCAAATTTGGTATTATCTTTGATCCTCTCTTTCTCTTGGCCCCCTAAATCCTGCTGATTATACCTTTGAAATCTCTTTTTCTTTCTGTTCCTATTGCCACTACCTAGTCCAGGACCTCATTTGCTCATGCCTAGATTTCTATAGTCATCCCTTTACCTTTTTCCCCCCTCCTTATACAGTGCATATATAGAGTCCTACAATATGCATCCTGAAATACTGCTCTCATTGTGAAAAGTTGTAGGTAGAGCAGAAGACACACTGTGTGCCAATAGTCAAAGACAGTTAATATCTCAATATTCTTATCTGTAAAATAAAGATTACGTTTCAAGTATTGTGAGGATTGAATTGGTTAATATATGTGAAACTCCTTTATAAACTATAAATTACTAAGTAAATGTTATCCTACATAATAAAAGCCTAGGTGGCGTCGCACGATGCCTTCATGTGATGTCATCACAAGATGGCCGCCACAAGGTGGCCGGCAGGAGAGGGCAGTTGTGGGCGATCAGGCCAGCAGGGGAGGGCAGTTGGGGGTGAACAGGCCAGCAGGGGAGGGAAGTTGGGGGCGATCAGGCCGACAGGGGAGCAGTTAGGCGTCAATCAGGTCGGCAGGGGAGCAGTTGGGGATGATCAGGCAGGCAGGCAGGCGAGCAGTTAGGAGCCAGCAGTCCCCGATTGTGAGAGGGATGTCCCTGCGGAATTGGGCCTAAACTGGCAGTCGGACATCCCCCAAGGGGTCCCAGATTGGAGAGAGTGCAGGTCAGGTTGAGGGACACCCCTCCCCCCCCCCGCATGCATGAATTTCGTGCACCAGGCCTCTAGTGTGTAATAATGATCAGGCCACTGTGTCACATAGGAATTGCCCCACATACTCTTTAATAACTTCTTTCTTATTTTCCTGGCTCTTGAACTCTCAAGATACAACCCTATGATATTTGAGATCATTTCCATTAGTAATTTGGCCTGCAGATTCCCTTTCAAGTAGCCTGGGACCCTTCTGGTCCTTGGAACACAACTCTAATTTCTATTTCATGTTTCTGCAGGTCTTTTCTCCTCCTTCCCCTTCCCCCACCAACCCCCATCCCTACTGGGTTCTCTTTTCATATCTCCTCTACATTTATGCAAATCCTTCCATTCCCAACTCAAGTTCTGCCTCTTCAAAGAAGCTTTCTCATCCTATACCTCCTGTTAACCTCCCCAAGCATGCAACAGCACACTCAGTCTTCATCATACAGCTCAACACATAATTATATGCCATTCTACTATCATTCCTTATGTGTATAGCTCCCTGAATTTTCAACTGAGTCTGCACCTTCTTTTGTATTTTTCTAAAGCCTAGCATAGACCTTTCTCATTGTGGGTGGCACTATTACACAAGGGTGAATCAATAACAAACAAATACTTACTATAGCTTCAAAGTTGTTCATTCCAGAGACTTGGCCTATCTTTGGTAACTTCATCTAGCAGTCTGCTATGGACAAAGGCCCATGATCCCATCGGCAAATAACATTTTTAACAAAGCATGACAGTTATTCTTTGCTTTTTGAGTGTGAATGCCAGCTTTAAAATTGAGTTTCTTAGTGTATTCCCAACATATGAAAATCAGGTGACGCACAGTCAATATTAATGTTTACTTGGTGAAACTGTAATAGAAAATTGAATACTTTCCTTTTCAACAGTGCCCCACCATAACCCTCAAACATATTGGCTTTTTAAAAAGGTAAACAAGTATTGCAACTTTATAGAAACAATGATTAACATTTATTTATACATGTAGTGATAGGGCTATGAGACCAAGAGTACTTGGTAAATATAGGAAGCCTCAATAAGTAAACATGAACTTCCCTGTTATACTTTCTATCTCATTATCAGCTATCTCATTATTTGAATTCCATGTGTTCATTCACAGGTAGTTCATGATATTGAAAGGGACAGAGTAATAATTCATCTATGCAACTGTCCACTTCTGTATGATGATGTAAAAGTGCAATTTCTGTCTTCTTCAGTGAGTAATCAAGAAACAACCTATGCTGTTATTCTTGTTTGGTTTTTTGAATAATTCTGGCTTGAGATTTCCATTGCTACATATCTCAACAAGGGAGATGATAGATATCAACTCCTAACCAGGGAGGAAGAAAAAAAAAAGTCAGATCCATAACACTTTTTTTAAAGAACATATGTAATTTTAAAATTTTGCTCATTTGTTTTTCTAATTTCTATACAATATGTATGTATTAATTTTCACATAAGTAACACAAAAACTAAGATGTAAAAAAAGACAAAGGTATGTTTTACTGCATAGAATAGTCAAATTTTTGTTTTATATTTTATACATTTAAAACACATTGCTCCCCATAATTTTTTAAATACTTGAAAGTGAAGATTTTACTTTCTTCTGAATTGTTATATAATACATTATAAATAGTATTTTAATGCAATGTTTACTTTATAAAAAATCCAATATTTACTTTATGGAAAATAAGAATTCTGCTGTCATTACTGTACCATGAGTGTATAATTTATATTGACCAGTCATAAAATGTATGTCTGGGCATTATTCTGTATATAACACATTTCTAATCTCAGTAGTTTCAATTAATTTTCCTGTAAAACCAACCAAAGCTTCCAATAAGAAACTATGTCCATCAATTAACAAGTTTTTTTGGTTAATCCTCAGCTGAGGATATTTTTTCCATTGATTTTTTTTTCTTTTAGAGAGAGTGGAAGGGAAGTAGGACAGAAGGAGGGAGGGAAGAAGGGAGGGAGGGAGGATGGGAGGGAGAAATGTCAATGTGAGAGAGACACATGGTTGCCTCCAACATACACCCCAACTGGGAATGGGAATTGAACCTGCAACCCAGGTATATGCCCTTGATTGGGAATCGAACCTGCAACCCTTCAGTGCTCTGGCAGATACTCTAACCACTCGCCACACCAGCCAGGGTTGTGTCCATTGATTTAAAACATATTTCCTGTGTCCTCCTTTAGCCCCTGCTTTCTCCCTGTTAGGGGAGAATCTACTAGTAGTAAGTATTGAAATGGTAAATGTGTTAAAGCAAGTGACCTGGATAGTTCCCATATTGGATGGTTACCCCTTGAATAATGGAGCCAGTCTGAATTCTCTCTCAATCATTGACCTCTAAGCTGAAAGACTGGTGAAGAGCACTGGCCCAGAGGATGCTAATACTATCTGGCCTTTATGATTTTCAAGGGCCATGAAGTAAAAGCACTTTCAAAAAATTTAGGTATTTCTATCATCATTAATAATGATAGTTAATTATATAATAGCGGCTCCTTGTAGGAATGGATGATATATTTGTGCATAAATAGGCATAGGTCCTTAATAGATTCTGCTTAGCACTATCTAAACCAGATAAAATGCATAAATGTCCATCATAGAAAAGATACATGCCTGGCCTGTGTGGCTCAGTGGTTGAGTGCCAACCTATGAACCAGAAGGTCATGGTTCAATTCCCAGGTTGCGGGCTCAGTCGTGCAGGAGGCAGCCGTTCAATGATTCTCTCATCATTGATGTTTCTATCTCTCCCTCTTCCTCTCTGAAATCAATAAAAACATTTAAAAAAAGAAAAGATACATTTCCTTGAAAATTTTGATAGAAACAGTGATCCCTGAAAGCCTCCTCCCTTGTGTCCTCGGTGTCATGTAGTAGAGTATAAACGCTGCACATTTAATGGCTGCGATTGTTTGATAAATATATAAATGAATAAAGGAAGGAATTGTAATCCCTGTTGGGTGATTAGTTTTTGGTATCACTTTTATTATGAAGAATAACCTTCTTTTTTAAATCCATGTATTTTTAGGATCTTCCTAAATACTATGACAACTGCCCCTTTTACTTTTGGTTCCACACATCCTTTATAGAAAATAACAGGTATGGTTTATTATATAACCCAGTAGAAATAGCCTTATCTTCAATGTTTGTGTACGGTGTAATAGCAAGTCTTTTGCTGATTGCCATAAACTTGGTTTACAGAAACCAAAAAATCCTCAAGTCACCATTCTTCATTCACATACTCATTTAATCTGGTTCTTATAAAAATATGGCTATTCTTGAGATTTGCATTATCCTCAAGGCCATGCCATAGGACTGTGTTATAAGTGAAAACATATTATAATCAGATCTTGAATGTGGTAATAAATCCAGCAGTTTGAGTTTGCTCAGTACCTTAAATAGGACAGATCCTCAGTATATGTTCATTTATTGATGACTGACCACCACCAAATTCTGTGCAAAAGTAAGGTGTCACCTGGCGGCGGCGGGGGGTGGGGGTGGGGATTAGGGGAGGGGCAGCTACAGCTACTTTAAAAGGTAATTGGCACACTTTTTTTCTAGGACAGAAGTCATAAGACATAGTGTCTGTGAAGACAGCTAAAAAAAATCATTCATAGTGTGTGCTCTCTCTCTTTTCCAGAACACAACCTAGCCTCTTCTCCCTTTTTTGTCCCTCAAAGCGAGTATCTTCTCCCTTTTCCTTCTAAGCTCCAAGGGCCCTTCTACTATTTCTGTAACTTTCTAAATAAATTTTACCTTATAATTTTTTAAAAATCATTAATAGTCTCACATTTAAATGTGATTTCTAATAACTAAATTGGGAACCACTTTTAAAAAGGTAAATATTAATTGATTTGAAGATTATTATTCCAAAGAAACTTCTGGAAACTCATTCCTGAGTCTAGAAATTCTCCACTTTAAATATTTGTTTCATAGTGCTGAAACAAATTTAAGATTATTGCTATCACAATACCACCCAACACAAAAGAAAAAATAATGTTCAAAAACTCATGCAGATGAGTTTTGAAGCAGTTGTGATTGTATTTGGCATGAATTGATAGTTCTCATTACATAAACCTAGCCTATTCTTCAAATATGAACTGTATCTACTCACACTTGAGTCCAGTAAGGCAACAGGAAATTGAGCATCTAATCTACATACTTATAATGTACACACATTTAATGGATTTGGATAGAGTGAATTTTAGATTGAAAATTTTTTAACCAGTTTCCTTCCCTGGATGTATACAAATAATAAACTTTAACTCACAACAGAGGCAAAATCTCTCAAATAGATATCTGGGTGGAACTTCATTAGGTGGGACGCCTACGAAGTGGTAATTGCTAAATAAGGACACTTTTTTTTTCCCTTTAAAAGACCATGTTAATATTAGAGAGACAACCACAGTCAGATCACTTTCCTCCTCACTTTTACATGTTTCTAAAGATTTCTTCAACATTGAAGTGTCCATACTACTTGGTAAAGCTGTTTTTATTAGTTATGAGATTGTTATCAGCTAAAATGCCAACTTAATCATTGAAAAAACACTCAGTATTTTATTCCTATTCTTCTCTGGCTGATTTCTGTCACATAAACATTTATTTTATTAAACCCAGATGTCTTTTATTCATTCCATAAAAGGCAATGTTAAAAGAATCAGTGACATATTGTTACTATGTGTTTGTTAGTGAATATTAAGATATTTTGCATCTCAGTAGAGAAAGTGGGAGCATTGGCTCATAAAAAACTAAGAGAAAAGTGGGCAGAGACTAATCTTGGCCAGCAAATCTTTTTTTAAAGCCTTAAAAAGGGTGCCTTAAATGGCTTTTCTATAAGCCCTAAAATATGTGTGTTTTTTCTATTCTAGGCTTTATCTTTCAAGAAATGAATTGGATAATCCCCATAAACCAAAAGCATGGAAAATTTATCATCCAGAGTTTGCAGTTGAAATTTATTTTGATGATGTTAAGTTGTGCCTGGTATCTGATTAAGTGTAGTTCCCCTTCTAGAATAGAATCATATTGTTCCCAATCCCTGCTATGTATTTATATCTTCAAAACCCTCTTCCTTGCTGGTATACTTATATTTACATATGTGTACATATGTTCTTGAGAATACTATTCAACATATATTAAATATATACAAGAGAAAATGTCAATGGCAATTTTTTTTCCTTTTTGAAGGAATATACTTCACACACAGTTTTGAGATAAATTTGGAACACAATACACAGGAACATTAGTTATCACTTTTAAAAACTTTAAAGAAAACTTTTATATCAAAATAATTGGAATATTTAAAAATTGTGATTCCCCCTAATACTGTGGGTTTGTTTCACTTGTTTACATATTTTTGGACAAGTATTTATTCCCTTTGTTTCACATTTGTAATTTCAGATTAGAAGGTAATTTCTAGTTTCTTCCTCCATTTGATTTACAAACTAACAAATACCAGATTGACAGCAGAGACTTTTAAACCCAGAGACGTGTTTACACAGCAGCCCCTCACCCCAAACACACGCTTTCCTCTTGCTCTCCAAGCACCTCAGAGCACGACGAGGCTCCTTTAGTCACACGCAGACGTGGGGAGACTAGGAGAATCTTGGTCAACATGACGGTAAAGCAGCTCGGGGAACTCTGAGGGAAGGTCGCCTTTTCATTCTAGTCCTGTGTCTGGAGGGAATCATTTTCTCTTTGGTACCCAGTGCTATTCTAAGTACTTTCACTGCCACTGTACCTTAAGGCCATGATTGTGCTTGAAAACAGTTCGATTTTGGCTCTGTTGAAATTATCCTTACTTGAGTGATTTTTCCTTTATTTGGCAAGGCTCTCAACAATCTAGACCAAGTTAAATTCATTGAGAAACACAGCTAGCAATAAGAAACAGTGCTCTGCTAAAACACACTAAACCCATTCCTGAAAAACCTTTCACTCTGCAAAAAACACAGACTAAAATGGTTTGCTCGGGGGAGACAGGGTTGGGAGTTTAGGGGGTTTGGAGGTTTGGGGCAAACCACTCCAACTAACAAACGCAACCAGCACATTAACCACTAACCACCCAGGTAGCAGCGCAGGATGCCTGGAGGTTGCCACAGTAGGCATTTTTTAAAAGGGGAAACTGGGCAATACCTTATTACAGAAGGGCTGGTGGGTGCCAAAGTGGCACCAGCACAGGTGCTCTCTTCTTGTTTCAAAACAGCCCACAAAGGGTCAGAGCTGCCAGTGCAGAAGGCCAACTGAAGGCTTTTTGCTTTTGACAAAAGTTATTACCCTACTCTCCCTAACCTGGATCCCCTGAAGGAAGAGATCTTGGAGGACCCTCTCAAGTTCCTTCCAGGTTATGACTGCATTATTCCCTGTTAATTGGTGCAACAGAAACGTGTTGTGGCAGAACAGGCTGTATTGTTTCCAGAATGCACATCAGGAGGCAGGCTTAATTGAATGGGGAAGTGCTTAGCTGGCTCATGGAGGAGTAAGATCTATCTATTTCAATACAGGCAGACCCCCATTTTTAAGAATCTTGCTCTTTGAAATAAGGAGATACAGTTGGGATTTTTCTTCTCTAATCTGCCAAGATCCATCAGAATTTCTGGCAATGAGTTGCCACACAAGTCTTCTTCCTCTCCTAGAAAGAGAACTTGCTTAGGGTCTCCCAGGGGGTTGCTGTCTTAGAACCAATGTGAATAACTCTTTGAACACAAGAAACTTATTTAGAATATATCAGAATGATACTGGTTTTCTTTTGTTCTTTGTTGTTGTTGTTTTTAAATATACATTTTTATTGATTTCAGAGAGAAAGGGAGAGGGAGAGGAAGATAGAAACATCAGTGGTGAGAGAGAATCATTGATCGGCTGCCTCCTGCACACCCTCCACTGGGGATCAAGCCCGCAACTCAGGCATATGCCCTTGACCGCAATCAAACCCGGGCCGACGCTCTATCCACTGAGCCAAACCAGCCAGGGCCTCTTTCTTTTTTTGATATTGGTTTTCTTAAACAGAATTTAATTACCTGGAACAGTATCCATAACTTAATAGAAAGAAGTTTAACTATTAAAAGAAAAAGAATGGTAACCTGCCAAATCAGACACCTCACATCCACAGCCTGGTGGAGGGAGATAGTAACTCTAGTGAACCGAGTTTCATAATTGCAGTGTATATAAAGAACTCCTCATATACTCAAATATTAGGCAAATAATTTAATAATATAGAACACTAGAATTTCTCTAAACACAGTGACTATATTTTTTTCTGGAGTACGGATCTGAAATGGTACAAATTATACATGATGAATTCAATAGAATGAAAAATCAATTCCTCTGACTTTTCCATTCCTTGCTCCCACTCACTCTTCCTTGCCTCAGACTGTTTCTATTGAAGATATTTAGTTAAACCTTTAAAGGAGGACATGTGAGGTCTACTGCCAACAGTGTTCACATGCTGACGGGCACCACACAGAGGGACCAGGGACCCTGAGCAATTCGCTTCCTGCTGGAAGCCAGTGCTTCATTTCTAGCCTGTTCAGATGAAGTGCCACTCAGATGGCCAAAGAACAGCTGCCATCTCCAAGTCTGTGGGAATCAGAGGAATGAGTGTTTTGTTGCTATTACTGCATACATGTGGCATAGCTTAATAAAAATTACTTTGTTTCATTGCTTTATAAAGTCACACCCCACATACAGTCATCATTAAAACTCAACGACTGCCAGTACCAGATAGAAGGGGTTCCAACACTATCAAAGCATGATGGAGTTATGGACCCCAAGAAAAACTTGAGACTGGGTCAGCCCTGACGTTACTCACTGCGGAGTGCACACACTACGTTTGGTCTAGTTCTGAAAGGACTCCATCCAGGAGCACTGGCAGTCACCAGACAGGGAACAAGGGCTTCTCTTGGCTTTGGCACTCTACTCCCAGGAAGGGTTTCCAATTTGGTGGAGGCAATGAGTGAATGGTCCAAAGTGGTCCAAAGAATACTCTGGAATCCTACCCAGGGCCAGGACCCAGAGACCAAAGCTAAGGGCTGTTGTGGGCCCACAAGGTCTTCACAAAGACAGCAGCACAGCCCCCTCCCCTCAGGCCCTTCCGCAACATAAAGCCCAGCAGAGGGAAGCTCTTCGTGAGAGAAGAATGGAGTTGGCACAGTGAAGGCCAAGCAGCTTTCCAAAGGCTTGATACTCTAGGCCACACCCAACAATATTTCAGAGAGTATATGATCCCACCAAAAAAATGAATGGCACTATTTTATCAGTAGAGCAGCTTGGAAAAATCCAGGATGCCTACTCTGAAAGTTAAATCAGAAACATGGAAACCACATCAGTTTACAGTTAAATTCTTTTCTTTAAGATCCATGGATATACTAGTACTGGTTTCCAAGCACCACAGGAAACCTTTTTAAAAACTTGAGCCACTTGGTATAGTGCATGTGTTAAGCAGATTTTAAGAGACCCTATATCTAGAATGGGTTAAGTAATCATAACCATCTTCATGAAACATGGTTACCTCTGGGTTTTTCTGGTGTGATCTGATTAAACACAGAACAAAATTATGCTTCATTCACAACACACAACCATCCAAACTGCATGTACAATACAAATTTATGCAAAATCCCTGATTATATTTAGATTGTCAGATTAGGTCTGGAGGCCAGAGGCTCACCCGGTATGTCCTACCAAGGACGACAGCAGCGGCTTTTCTATTTCAGTACAATTATGGGCAGAAATCAGATTATGTAAAATTGAGGTCCTTCCATGAAGTTTAAGATTTAGGGTAGAAGAATGGAAGACAACAAAATACTCTGAAATTAAAATAATTCCACACTGGGCTTGTACTCCATGAAACCCTGAGATGAGTTATAGTCCTCAAACACTTGTACTTGGATCCAGGTTCACTAGAATACTTCAGTCTGCTTCAAGCTGGCTCATCATCAACTTCCTGCTGTATTCATAGGCCAAAAATAGTGCCCCATTGGCGGGGAACGCTCGAATCATAGTAGGTTTCAGTCCAGAATATAAGGCCGTTACTCCTAGAAGACAAAAGGGTGATCCAAGACTGAGTCCCTTCCTTAGAGATATTCCATGAAGCTGCATAGCGTACATATTTTACACTTACAAATACAACAGCATTAAAAACCAACACATGATGAAAGACCTTATTTCCAGATTTCCCCTGGACTAATGGAACTAAACAGACTATAGGAAGCCGGACAACGTCAGGACTCCGAGCAAAGCTGGTCGATGCTCATGTAACATACACCAATCCCATGCCTGGTTAACTCCTGGTAGGTGGATCTGGCAGAACTGAGGCCTCACGAGGGCAGACAGAAGGCGAACACAGAGCCACAGGCTGCCGTAATCTTGTAGCTTCGCCTGGGAGGCAAAGACGAGGCATAGGGCACGTGAAAAGAGCATTTCTAGTTTTAGCATTGCCCTATGAAGATCCAATTACATTAGGGAGGTGTAAGTACTTTGTAAAACTATAAAGTATTATGTAAATTTAAAGAGGGGTTACTATTAGTAATATACAAGATATCTGTACTCGGGACACAAATTAAACAATTTCTGCATACTGTTACTGTGCTCTCGCTTTTAAAATCATGATAGAGGAGTTCACATCTCCAGCTTTAAGATGTATAGAGGATGCTGGAAGGACAGACTTCACTCACTATAGTAGCATAAAACTGGCTTTATACAAACATTAAGTAGAAAATCTACATCCTCCTACATAACTAAAAATTGATAGAAAATCACCTTCAGAAGTTGCTTAGTGATTCCTACTTCCAGGAGACTAAGGATTAAGCATGGTGCACATTCTTTTAAATTCCTTAGTGGTTCTCTTAGGGTCATCTGAAAATAGCTATACGACATAAAACAAGTGGTGCTAACTTCAAAACATCTGTCCCCTTAAACAAAGTCCATATTTTAATAATTCCCTCCAGGCTGTTTAGAACAAAGCATCCTAACAGGTACCTGGCTAAGGGGTTAGGAATAAGAACTTTAAACATTCTTGAGAATAATGAAAGTAAGCTAAAGAAAGGGAATTGGAAACAAATCCACAAACATGAATTAACATACAGTGCTAGACAAGGAATATGAGGTGGGGCAGACACCAATTATACACGATACACTGCAACAAGACCAGCAGTGAAATATGACATACATACGTGCTCTGTTTGTGCAATAGCAGACCCACCTTCATTTTTCACAACACTTATAAAGGTTCCAACAAATCCTGCCTGTTTTCCAGACATGGAAAGAACTTGAATTCTAGACTTGATACAATCCACTGGGTAAACAGCAAGCCAGAGGCAAATTCCACCAACTCCACCACTTAACATCAAAGGGACAGGGCCTAGAGAAGAAAATTAGCAAACAGTGTTTTATCTCAAAAACAGCTGATGTGACATTTCTAGAGGTCTGGCTGCAGGTAGGTGCAAATAAAAATGCTAATGCTGTGGAGCACAGTTCTCTGAGGCAACTGTCAAACTCTAAGAGCACAGGTTCCGTGTGTACCCACACAGTAAACTTTGCCAGGAGGGGAAGCCCTAATGAGGGTCGTATTAGGCTGGTCACTGTGGCTCTGCGGCCCTCCTGCCCCACCCTCCAGAGGGCTGGTCCACACAGAACCAGCAGGCCCCCAGCAGCACAGCAATGCCCTACTAGGAGGAACGAGATGAGAGAGCACTGAAACAGAGGCCTCTTTCCAACTGTCTCGTTCTGAAGTACTGTAATATTTTAAAGCCCAGCAGCCCTGATTCTTCCTTTACTGTGGAAAATAAAAGTTGTCTTATTAAACAGAACAGTTAAGCCTGGGAGCTTGACTAATCCTAGAATAGGTCCAAAACACTGATGGGAGGTTTTAAGGAAAAAGTAATCACACTCATGTGGACCAAACACTGATACATTGTGTCAAGCAGTAAAATAGAGTAAGCTAGAAAGAACTATAATTTCACTTCTCTCAAACACTATCAAGATTTATTACCAAATTTTAAGCTTATTGCAAGATAATTTACAGGTGATTTCCCTATTTATTGATGTTTTCCCATAGGGAAAGGAATTTCTGTATTTCCTCACCTCTAAGATGGAGCCAGAACAAATTAATCAATGTTGTAACAGTACAGAAGTTTGGGATGCACTGCGTCAGCCTGTCCTGAGGAAATTATCAAGCTGAAAGGAAGGTGCCAACAGTCGCCAGCGCCACCTAGAGGAAGGTGCCTGCAATTGCCAGGGCCACACTGCTTCCCAGTATCTGGAAATCCCAGTGCCAGGTGGGCCCCCACAATGGGGCGCAGAGCACAGGGAATCCGCAGCAACCACACCATTGGAAAGCTGACACCGTCAAACCCAAAGTGAATACATTTACCTAGTTCATCTTTTGATCTCCCTGCGGCAAAAAACGATCGACTCTGTTCATAGCCGCCGAAAAAGAAGAAATAGCCCGGTACTTCTCGAAGTAAAGTGCTGGAGAGTCCATGATAGAAGCCCAACGGGCCATCCTTTCTAAGGATACTCTTCACTACAGACCAAACTGTACTGGAAGGAGACAGAGGGAGAGTGTTAAACACAACACCGGCATTAGCACCCAATCAACAGACCTGATTAAGTTCCAGGAAGGAAACAGCTGATTTTATAAAGAGAGGACCCAGAATTCTGAGAATAAAGACTCCT